CTGAGGGCAATGTGTGGTGTGAATATAATGCAGAGAATTCGTAGTTTGGAAGTTAGGAGGAGGTGCAGGATTACCAAAACTGTTGTCCAGAGGGCTGAGGAAGGGTTGTTGAGGTGGTTCGGATATGTAGAGAGAATGGAGCGAAACAGAGTGACTTCAAGAGTGTATCAGTCTGTAGTGGAAGGAAGGCGGGGTAGGGGTCGGCCTAGGAAAGGTTGGAGGGAGGGGGTAAAGGAGGTTTTGTGTGCGAGGGGCTTGGACTTCCAGCAGGCGTGCGTGAGCTTGTTTGATAGGAGTGAATGGAGACGAATGGTTTTTAATATTTGATGTGCTGTTGGAGTGTGAGCAAAGTAACATTTATGAAGGGGTTCAGGGAAACTGGCAGGCCGGACTTGAGTCCTGGAGATGGGAAGTACAGTGCCTGCACTCTGAAGGAGGGGTGTTAATGTTGCAGTTTAAAAACTGTTGTGTAAAGCACCCTTCTGGCAAGACAGTGATGGAGTGAATGATGGTGAAAGTTTTTCTTTTTCGGGCCACCCTGCCTTGGTGGGAATCGGCCAGTGTGATAATAAAAAAAATAAGTCTATTTTCTTTCAGGTGTGTTCCTGACATTGATGATAGGCATGTGTGAGCTTTCACATTATTAGCTGATGTAGGGATATGTTATGGAAAGGAAATGTTTTTTAATGGTAGTTTTGAAAATGTTGACTTGAGTTAATAAATCTTTAGATTTCAAGCAGGGAGTTCCAGATTTTGGGCCGTTTTATGTACGAAGAATTTTTTAAGAGATTTAGCTGGACACCGGAAATATCAGAGATTTTTGTCCCTAGTATTATGTCTATGGGTCCTTTTACAGCTATCAAGGAAGTGTTTTAGCTCAGTAATATTTGAATTTATGTATTGTTCTGTAAATGTAGTCTTCAAAGTAGTAGGTGTGAATGTTTTGTATAGTGAGTAGGTTTAGGTCTTTGAAGAGTGGGGGGGGGGGGGGTAGGGGTGTGCTGTCTAGCATTGGACTGTGTGATAATTTGTTCTGCAGCTTTTTGTTGAGTTATTATTGGCTTTAGGTGGGTTGTTGTTGATTCCCAGGCACAAATAGCATAGGTGAGGTAAGGATAGATCAATGAATAATATGGTGTGAGTAGGACTGTTTGTGGTACATAATAATGTATCTTTAAGAGGATGCCAACTCTTTTGGACACTATTTTGTTATGTGTTGGATATGGGTGTTGAATTTCAAGTTGCTGTCAAGGTGCAGACCCAGAAACTTTCCCTCATTATGTTTAACAATAATTGTGTTGCTAATCATAATGTTTAGTTAGGTATCACCTGTTCTTCTCCCAAACATAATATAATATAGAAGGTTTTGTCAGTGTTAAGTGTAAGTTTATTGGCAGTCATCTAGGTCGATATTTTTACTAGTTCCTCATTAACCCTTTGAGGATTAATGTTTAAATTTAAACATTATTTAACATACAAAACATCCACACTTACTGCTGTGCCTACTGTATGTGCCAGACACTCATTATAAGTATTAACCTTATGCTGAAACTTTTTGGAAAACTGCAACAGAATGCATAGATACTCAGAAACAAGTATATTTTTAATATTGAATGCCAACAGCTTCAAAAAATAGTTAAAAACACCTCTGAAATTTGATGTAAATTCATGAAAATCAAATCTAAATGTCAGATATATCTAATGCAGCTTGCTTATCTAGATTCCAGTCAGCATTCATGCTCATGCACTAATTGTCACTACTATATTTTCACCCCTAGCAATCACTATAACAAAAATTGAGAATACAGTTTTGTATTACTATACTATCTCTTCCTATTACCATTGCTTTATTAACCCTTAAACGGTCCAAAGAGATTGACGTTCAGATTCGTAGTGCTACAAAAGTAGATCTACTTTTTTTTTACATTTTTTTTTTTTTGTTTTTTTTCAACAAGTCGGTCGTCTCCCACCGAGGCAGGGTGACTCAAAAAAGAAAGAAAATCCCCAAAAAGAAAATACTTTCATCATCATTCAACACTTTCACCACACTCACACATTATCACTGCTTTTGCAGAGGTGCTCAGAATACAATAGTTTAGAAGCATATACGTATAAAGATACACAACATATCCCTCCAAACTGCCAATATCCCAAACCCCTCCTTTAAAGTGCAGGCATTGTACTTCCCATTTCCAGGACTCAAGTCCGACTATATGAAAATAACCGGTTTCCCTGAATCCCTTCACTAAATATTACCCTGCTCACACTCCAACAGATCGTCAGGTCCCAAGTATCATTCGTCTCCATTCACTCCTATCTAACACGCTCATGCACGCTTGCTGGAAGTCCAAGCCCCTCGCCCACAAAACCTCCTTTACCCCCTCTTTCCAACCCTTTCGAGGACGACCCTACCCCTCTTTTCTTCCCCTATAGATTTATATGCTTTCCATGTCATTCTACTTTGATCCATTCTCTCTAAATGACCAAACCACCTCAACAACCCCTCTTCTGCCTCTGACTAATGCTTTTATTAACTCCACACCTTCTCCTAATTTCCACACTCCGAATTTTCTGCATAATATTTACACCACACATTGCCCTTAGACAGGACATCTCCACTGCCTCCAACCGTCTCCTCGCTGCTGCATTTACCACCAAGCTTCACATCCATATAAGAGTGTTGGTACTACTATACTTTCATACATTCCCTTCTTTGCCTCCATAGATAACGTTTTTTGACTCCACATATACCTCAACGCACCACTCACCTTTTTTCCTCATCAATTCTATGATTAACCTCATCCTTCATAAATCCATCTGCCGACACGTCAACTCCCAAGTATCTGAAAACATTCACTTCTTCCATACTCCTCCTCCCCAATTTGATATCCATTTTTTCTTTATCTAAATCATTTGATACCCTCATCACCTTACTCTTTTCTATGTTCACTTTCAACTTTCTACCTTTACACACATTCTCAAACTCATCACTAACCTTTGCAATTTTTCTTTAGAATCTCCCATAAGTACAGTATCATCAGCAAAAAGTAACTGTGTCAATTCCCATTTTGAATTTGATTCCCCATAATTTAATCCCACCCCTCTCCGAACACCCTAGCATTTACTTCCTTTACAACCCCATCTATAAATATATTAAACAACCATGGTGACATTACACATCCCTGTCTAAGACCTACTTTTACCGGGAAGTATTCTCCCTCTCTTCTACACACCCTAACCTGAGCCTCACTATCCTCATAAAAGCTCTTTACAGCATTTAGTAACTTACCACCTATTCCATAAACTTGCAACATCTGCCACATTGCTCCTCTATCCACTCTATCATATGCCTTTTCTAAATCCATAAATGCAATAAAAACTTCCCTACCTTTATCTAAATACTGTTCACATATATGCTTCAATGTAAAAACTTGATCTACACATCCCCTATCCACTCTGAAACCTCCTTGCTCATCCACAATTCTACATTGTGTCTTACCTCTAATTCTTTCAATTATAACTCTACCGTATACTTTTCCTGGTATACTCAGTAAACTTATTCCTCTATAATTTTTACAATCTCTTTTGTCCCCTTTCCCTTTATATAAAGGGACTATACATGCTCTCTGCCAATCCCTAGGTACCTTCCCCTCTTTTCATACATTTATTAAACCAAAGTACCAACCACTCCAACACTATATCCCCCCCTGCTTTTAACATTTCTGTCATGATCCCATCAGTTCCAGCTGCTTTACCCCCTTTCATTTTACGTAATGCCTCACGTACCTCCACCACACTTACATTCTGCTCTTCTTCACTCCTAAAAGATGGTATACCTCCCTGGCCAGTGCATGAAATTACCGCCTCCCTTTCTTCCTTAACATTTAAAAGTTCCTCAAAATATTCTCGCCATCTACCTAATACCTCCCTCTCCCCATCTACTAACTCCCCTACTCTGTTTTTTTTACATATTTTCAAATATAACAAAAAAAAAGTAGATAAAAGTTTTTTTACACGTTTTCAAATGTAAAACAAAAATGAAGATCTACATTTTTTTACATACTTTCATATTTTGAAAAAACGTATATATACGTTTGGACCACTTAAGGGTTAAGTACAGTATATAGAGTTTTATAACTTAAAATCATCATTACATTTAATATTCTTCTCTTCAGACAACTGAATTATGTTTAATTTGGCATTCTATTAATCCCACTTCAACCAGACACCTCTTTCAATGTCAGCTTTCAGTTCAGTTAGCTTTGTGTCAGATAGCTTTCAATGTCAGTTAGCTTTCAGTGTCAGCTTTCAGTGTCAGTTAGCTCTCAGTGTCAGTTCATTTTCAATGTCAGTTAGCTTTCAGTGTCAGCTTTCAGTGTCAGTTAGCTCTCAGTGTCAGTTCATTTTCAATGTCATTTAGCTTTCAATGTCAGCTTTTAGTGTCAGTTTGCTTTCAGTGTTACCTAGCTTTCAGTGTCAGCTTTCAACATCAGTTAGCTATCAGTGTCAATTAGCTTTCACTGTCAGGTTTCAATGTCATTTAGCTTTCAGTGTCAGGTTTCAGTGTCAGCTCTCAGTGTCAGTTAGATTTCACTTCTGGTTTTAGCCTTCCCAAAATGCTCTTCACAACCATGGGCTTTTCAAAATGTGTGAAATAAATTTCTACTTAATTTTATAACAATTATGTATGGTATATTTTGAAAATAAAATAACTTGTTTGTTTTGTAAATTTTTTTTAACATGCTGACAATCTCCCGTCAAGGCTGGGTGACACAAAAGAGAAACACTTTCACCATTATTTACACTCACTGTCTTGTCAGAGGCTTGCTTTAAATGCATAGATGTTTGGTAACAAAATAATAATTTTCACATGTTCTATCAAGCTTTCTAAATAAAAGTACAAAAAAGGGATGTTCACTTGAAATTTCTATTTGCTGGAACAGTTAGTTCAGGTACGAGCACTCACTGTAAATAATATACTTTATTACTTTCATTTACAGATGGAGCCCCTCAATGCTGAGATGTCAGTATTTTTAGAATGTGATGATTTAGCAAGAGATTGTGACAATGGTTACTCATCCCCTATCTCGGAAGAAAGAGAAGTTTTGGGACTGCCGCATGTATGTATATCACCTGTGTGCTGTAAATTTCATTATCTTTATTGAATTTTTATTTTAACACACCAGCTGTGTCCCACCGAGGTAGGTTGACCTGAGAAAGAGGAAACGCATTTGTCATTTTTTCAACCAAGCACTGTCTTGCCAGAAGAATGCTGGTATCACAATTCAGATAACCCTCTGAAATGCAACATACATACCCCTCCTTCAACAGGAGACATTTACTTCACGCCTCCAGGACTCTAGTTTGGCTGACTGGTTTCCTGAATTCCTTCATAAATGTTACCTTGCTCACACTTCAACAGTATGACTTATCACAAAAGCCACCTAATGCACTCACACAAGCCTGCTGGATGTCCAAGCCCCTAGCACTCCTTAACTCTGCCTGCACAACCTTTCCTAGGAAGTCCCTTTACCCCCATCTCCATCCCAGATTTATACACCCTTCTAGTCATCCTATTTTCCTCCAACCTCTCTAAATGTCCAAACCACCTCAACAACCCCTCCTCAGCCCTCTAAATAATACTTTTGGTAACCTCGCACCTTCTAGTCACCAGGCTCTGACTTTCTTTCAACAAACCAGCTGTATCCCTCTGACTTGTCTGCATAATACAGTGGACCCCCGCATAACGTTGGCATCGCATAGCGTTAAATCCGCATAGCGATACATTTTATTGCTAAAATTTTGCCTCGCATAGCGCTAAAAAATTCGCTCAACACGATTCGTCCGAGACGCGTCCATGCAGCCTGTGCCAGCCTCACTTGTTCTGCCAGTGGCATTGTTTACAAGCCAGCCTCCGCGGTAACATTCAAGCATACAATCGGAACATTTCGTATTATTACAGCCTTTTTACAGTGATTTCACCTGAAAAATAAGTGACCATGGGTCCCAAGAAAGCTTCTAGTGCCAACCCTACAGGAATAAGGGTGAGAATTACTATGGAGATGAAGAAAGAGATCATTGCTAAGTATGAAAGTGGAGTGCGTGTCTCCGAGCTGGCCAGGTTGTATAGTAAACCCCAATCAACCATCGCTGCTATTGTGTCCAAGAGAACGACAATCATGGAAGCTGTTCTTGCCAAAGGTTTAACTGTGCTTTCGAAACAGAGATCACAAGTGATAGAAGATGTTGAGAGACTGTTATTGGTGTGGATAAACGAAAAACAGATAGCAGGCGATAGCATCTCTCAAGCGATCATAAGTGAAAAGGCTAGGAAGTTGCACAAGGATTTAATTAGAAAAATGCTTGCAACTAGTTGTGATGCGAGTGAATTTAAGGCCAGCAAAGGTTGGTTTGAGAGATTTAAGAGGCGTAGTGGCATACATAGTGTGATAAGGCATGGTGAGGCTGCCAGTTCGGACCAAAAAGCAGCTGAAAAATATGTGCATGAATTCAAGGAGTACATAGACAGTGAAGGACTGAAACCTGAACAAGTGTTTAATTGTGACGAAACAGGCCTGGTTTGGAAGAAAATGCCAAGCAGGACCTGCATTACTGAGGAAGAAAAGGCACTCCTAGGACATAAGCATATGAAAGACAGGCTTACTCTTCTCATGTGTGCCAATGCTAGTGGTGATTGCAAATTGAAGCTTTTATTAGTGTATCACTCTGAAACTCCCAGAGCGTTCAGGCAAAAGAATATCCTCAAGGCTAATTTGTGTGTGCTGTAGAGGGCAAACAATAAGGCATGGGTCACTAGGGACTTTTTCTATGACTGGTTACACCAAGTATTTGCCCCCACTGTGAAAAATTACCTAACTGAAAAGAAATTAGACCTTAAGTGCCTCCTGGTGTTAGACAATGCCCCTGGTCATCCTACAGACTTGGCAGGGCGACTTTGTGGGGGCAAGAGGTTCATTAAGGTGAAGTTTTTGCCTCCTAATACCACTCCTCTCCTGCAGCCCATGGACCAGCAGGTTATTGCAAACTTCAAAAAACTGTACACAAAAGCTCTGTTTGAAAGGTGCTTTGTAGTGACCTCAGAAACTCAGTTGACTCTAAGAGAGTTTTGGAGAGAGCACTTTAATATTCTCAATTGTGTAAACCTTATAGGTAAGGCTTGGGAGGGAGTGACTAAGAGGACCTTGAACTCTGCTTGGAAGAAACTGTGGCCAGAATGTGTAGACCAAAGGGATTTTGAAGGATTTGAGGCTAACCCTGAGAATCCTATGCCAGTTGAGGAATCCATTGTGGCATTGGGGAAGTCCTTGGGGTTGGAGGTTAGTGGGGAGGTTGTGGAAGAGTTGGTGGAGGAGGACAATGAAGAGCTAACCACTGATGAGCTGCTAGATCAACTTCAACAGCAAGAGGCCAGACCTGAGGAAATTGCTTCGGAGGAGGGGAGAGAGAAATTGAAGAAGTTGCCTACTTCAGAGATTAAGGAAATCTGTGCAAAGTGGCTTGAAGTACAAACCTTCATGGATGAAAATCACCCTCAGACAGCTATTGCAAGCCATGCTGGTGACTATTACACTGACACTGTTGTGAAACACTTTAGGAAAGTCATAAAGGAACAAGAGGTACAGGCCACTATGGACAGATATGTTGTGCGACAGAAGTCCAGTGACTCTGAAGCTGGTCCTAGTGGCATTAAAAGAAGAAGGGAAGCAACCCCGGAAAAGGACTTGACACCTCAAGTCCTAATGTAAGGGGATTCCCCTTCTAAACACTAAAACCATCCAGTCTCCCCTACTTCCATCCCATCAATCATCACCACATCTTCAATAAAGGTAAGTGTCATGTAACTGTGCATGTTTTCTTAAGTTTGTGTGTATTAAAATTAATATTTCATGTGGTAAATTTTTTTTTTTCATACTTTTGGGTGTCTTGCACGGATTAATTTGATTTCCATTATTTCTTATGGGGAAAATTAATTCGCATAACGATAATTTCGCATAACATTGAGCTCTCAGGAATGGATTAATAGCGTTATGCAGGGGTCCACTGTATTCATAATGCACATTTTCTTCAGACATGACATGCCCACTATTTTAAGCCTCCTCCTTGCTGTAACATTGAAAACCTATGTTTCACACCCACATAATACAGTAGTGTTGGCACCACTGAACTCAGGTATATTTTGCTTTTCCCCTTCCTCCACTCTGATATCCAATCTTTTATTGGATATAAGATTGGAGGGAGAAAGTATAGATTTGTTGTTATTCTCATCACCTTGTTTTTTCAATGTTTAATTTTGCTTTCTTTCTTTCTTTTACATTTTTTTTTCAACAAGTTGGCCATCTCCCACCAAGGCAGGGTGACCCAAAAAGAAAGAAAATCCCCAAAATGAAAGTACTTTCATCATCATTCAGCACTTTCACCTCACTCATACATAATCACTGTTTTTGCAGAGGTGCTCAGATACAACAGTTTAGAAGCATATATAAAGATACAGTATAAAAAGTGACCTGAAATAATACAATAAACTCCCTACAGAATATAATATCAGGGCCCCAGTTATATATATACCATCCTATTACACATGCCTCGAAACTGTGAGTATCCCAAACTCCCCCTTTAAAGTGCAGGCATTGTACTTCCCATTTCCAGAACTCAAGTCCAGCAATATAAAAATAACCGGTTTCCCTGAATTGCTTCACTAAATATTACCCTGCTCATACTCCAACAGCTCGTCAGGTCCCAAAAAAAACATTCGTTTCCATTCACTCCTATCTAACATGCTCAAGCACGCTTGTTGGAAGTCCAAGCCCCGTGCCCACAAAACCTCCTTTACCCCTTCCCTCCAACCTTTTCGAGGACAACCCCTATCCCGCCTTCCTTCCCCTACACATTTATGTGCTCTTCATGTCATTCTACCTTGATCCATTCTCTCTATATGACCAAACCACATCATCAACCCCTCTTCAGCCCTCTGACTAATACTTTTATTAACCCCACGCCTTCTCCTAATTTCCACACTTTGAATTCTCGGCATAATATTTACACCACACAGTGCCTATAGACAGGACATCTCCACTGCCTCCAACCGCCTCCTTGCTGCAGCATTTACAACCAAAGCTTCACACCCCATATAAGAGTGTTGGTACCACTATACTTTCATACATTCTCTTCTTTGCCTCCAGTGATAATGTTTTTTTTGTCTCCTCATATACCTCAATGCACCACTCACCTTTTTTTCCTCATTAGTTCTATGGTTAACCTCATCCTTCATAAATCCATCCACTGACACATCAACTCCTAAATACGTATCTGAAAGCATTCACTTCTTCCATACTCCTCCTCTCCAATGTGATATCCAATTTTTCTTTATCTAAATCATTTGATACCCTCATCTCCTTACTCTTATCTATGTTCACTTTCAACTTTCTACCTTTACTCACCCTCCCAAACTCATCTGTTAACCTTTGCAACTTTTCTATTGAATCATCCATAAGCACTGTATCATCAGAAAAAGTAACTGTGTCAACTCTCATAATGCCCCATAATTTAATCCCACCCCTATCCCCAACACTGCAGCATTTACTTCTTTTACAACCCCATCTATAAATATATTAAACAACCATGGTGACGTTACACATCCCTGTCTAAGATCTACTTTTACCGGGAAGTAATCTCCCTCTCTTCTACACAGCCTAACTTGAGCCTAACTATCCTCATAAAAACTCTTTACAGCATTTAGTAACTTACTACCTATTCCATATATTTGCACCATTTGCCATATTGTTCCCCTATCCACTCTATCATATGCCTTTTCTAAATCCATAAATACAGTGGACCCCTGGTTATCGGCCGGTTTGGTTATCGGCCAACTTGGTTATCAGCCGGTTTTTTGGCACCCGGTTATCGGCTGTTTGCTCGGTTATCGGCCATTTGGGACTCGTCCATCCACTGGCTGGGGCTGCTTGTGCGTCATTTTGGCTTTGTCTCTCGGTGGCTGAGGAAGCTTCTGCTTATACATCCAAACATTTTGCTTATTTCCAATTATAGTTTGTGTTATTTTTGCAGTGCAACTGTGAAATAAGGAACCATGGCTCCAAAGAAA